TTAAGTATATAAATTTTTATTAGAAATAATATTTAATATGAGATCCTTAGAACATAATTTAATCTCCGTGACATTAATAATTCAACTGTCAAATTCACAATACTATAGGATCGATAAATTTATATGTAACAAAATTTTTTAATATTTATTCGTTAAAACAATCTTCAATAATATTAAGAAATTTAATACAAACGCCACTCGTTTAATAATAATTCACATAATTTCATTCTCATACAAAATTATGTCGCTTAACTCGTAATAAAGTACGAACCGGATGATCTTAAATTATTTTCATTTTAATATTGAGATTTTATTCTCAAGCTTATTTATTTTTATTTATTGATGACATAAGTATTATCCTCATATAAGTATATAAATAAAGTCGCATTACAAATGAACATTAATACGATTTTTTATCATCTGGTCATCTAAAATTAAATTCTCTTATTGAAGATACCATGAGGAGTGTGTTAGAGTGCCTGGCTTTAATAAAAGTTTGGCATTACAATTTTCGAATGTCAGAGCTCTTTTATACAGTACTTCCGTATGAACTGAGCATTGGAAATTTCAACTCTCGGCGATATAATATGAGTGTAAACGATAAAATAAATTTATTCATGAAAATCATGTTCTAGATAAGAAAAATACTTATTATCGTTGATCGCTTCTTAGGGAAGACTACTAAATATTCTTAAGACGGGAATAAGAAATAAAATAAAATGTAATTTATTATGAAAGGAAAGCGATAATGATTAGATTGGCCTTGAAATAAAAGATTGGATATTTTTAATATTACATCTAATATTTTAATTACAGTAAATTAGACATACGATTGCGGCATTCATTCCTAATCCACATAAGTACTCGATTAGGAAAATTTTACATTATTGTCATACTCACATACTAGCTGTTTCATTTCCATTTACCGACTATAAATGAAGCATAACAACAGAATTGCATTCGTTTACGCGACATGAATCTTCTTAACGTTAAAATAGGGCCAATTTATAATTCAACCAAACCAACAAGTCAAAGAGTGAAATATTGAAATTTATTCGTACCTGAAAAGTAAGCGAATCGAGAATTAACTTATCCGTGACTGTTCAAGAATCCCTCCCTCCCTAACCCGCCCCCTCCCCACCACCAATCCCCATTCCCACTGGGCAAAATAAGAGTCCTGTATCACAAGAAGATATAATCGCGTCCATGGATAAAAACACGCTCGCGCATTTTCCGTTTAAGTTTTTCTCCTTCGGAACTAAGCTGCTCCCATTTTCTAGACGTTTTTCTTGCCTCCCCACCCTACCACCCTCGCCAACGCCACGGTCCCCGCGCACAGGCAACAGCAGCGCCGAGCTTTCCTAATCGAAATTCATTTCCAGGTTATATACGAAAGTGCATTATTCACTGATCGTATTACAGCTGTTCTAAGGTTTCGAGTGTTTCTCTATCTGCACTGCGGCCCCGTTAAGCGCATTCTATACTCCGCATCTCTGTTTTCGTGCGCGCTATAACTGCAATGATTTCCCCGTGGAAAATGCAATTATTTTGCGCGCGAACCACTTACGAAAACATTTAACTTTACAATCGAATCGCGAGACCTTTGCTTAATGAACTGATGTATGACGCGAAAGCGAGAAGGGAGGGGCTTGAACTTCCTCTCTGTTGGAATGTAACGCGACATTACAATATTGCAATAACGACTCTCTTGGGCTGATAAATGAAAAATATTATATCGATACTGTTTCACTCGATTATATTAATAATAGTTTAACGTTATTGTGTTTTTAATTATTTTTATACTTTTACTTTAGCAAGTAAAATGCACTGTGCACTCGTATCAGATTATTATTTTTCTCACAGCTAAAATTAAGATGAAGGACGCGTTGTGACTAATTAAAATTAAAATAAAATTAAAATAAAAATATACGTATAGATTTTATTTTACAATTACTTGTATTCTTTATTATGACTTGATATTCTACCGAATATATCAAGTAGACATAAAATTATTACAAATATCGGACAATTAAATTAAGTTTATAAAAAAGAATAAATCGTAAAAAGCGTTTCTGTTCGGGTATACATGTCAAATTTTTTTATACATGAGCTTGACTCAAGAGATTAACTTTTATAAGGAATTATTCATGTAATCGCTCTTGTAAAATGCTCTTGTCTATATAAAAACTTCCACGCGAATGGCGCTTTCCCCAGTTTACTTATCTCAAATACGTATTTTAATCATATAACTTTCAAATTAACGCGTAACCAACATATGAGCCTCTAGTGATTAATTAACTAAAATATGAGATGAACGATATGATAGATATAAAACGAAAATATATTATTATTCATATCCACTAATATTAAGCTGATTTATTTTACACTTTATTAATGATTTCATTACATTTATTAGTTTATTCTATAATTATAAATACACGTAGTGTCTTAAAATACGGAGCACATAAGCCTCTTAGGAAAAATTAATCACTATTTACTCGATATGCATACATAAACAAGGTTTTAATAAATTGCAACATTAATTATAATTAGATAGATCATTCTATCCTATCATTTACTTTATACAATAATTTTTTAAATAATTGACAAAAAACAATTGTCAACTATTAGGAACTGTTTTGTAATATCAATTTTTCATAATTGAAAATATATTATAAAACTATAATAATAAAGATAATTGTAATATATATATATATATATACATTACTTCAATAAATGAGAAAAATATTATTATAAATTGAGAAAAGTAAGTATCTAATCACAAGTACATTTTATATAAAACTACTTCAAGAATTACATTATTTTATATATACATATATATGTATATAAAGTAATTGCACTAACTTATTAATAAGTTAACTCCGAATTGTCATGTGTTTTTAAACAACAACAAAACAGTAAACGTATATTTTCTTTCCCCCGTCCACTTGCTGAGAATGGGGCTTCGCACAGGAAATAAGGGGCCAATTAAAAGAAAAAGTCCTGCATCCCGTACCACCGCGAAATGGCTTAGTCTATTTCTACCGCCGATGAAGAAAAAGTGCAGAGGAAAGTAATGGGTCCGGTGAGGGGAGGGGGTAGGTGGTAGGTGGATAAAAAGAGAAGCGATACAATGAAGGGAAGAATAGAATGAAGGAAAGGATGGCGAGGGGAGCCAGAGAATTCGACCGGATCTGAACAGAAGAGTGCTAGCCTCGTCTAATTGGCTGGAGACTCGATTATATCAGGTCGAGTTGGCATTTTCCACTATCGGTAATGTATTTCCTTAGGCAGCACACGTTTTCCCGTTAAAACTGTGCCAAATAAAAGGATGGAATGGGGACAAGTAGCTTGAGGAAAATCGTAGAAAGTCTAGCCAAAATATCCAACAAAATTCTCGGCCTTTATTTTTCTATGTTTAATGGGAAACCAAAATATGGCTGCTATCTTGGGATTAAGATTCTCGTATGGATATACGACGCAGCGGTAACTCAATTTTAACAATATAGCAGTGAAGAACGATATTAGGGAAGAGAAAGTAAGATGCAGTGTTGAATGTCGCTCATTCATGCACACGATAAAATCACTTGAGAATATTGATTAAATGTCCTAATCCAGCTAGTCGCGCTGTGTCAACTGTTTACTAATTGTTGTGTTTCCGTTGCATCAACATTACAAAGTTCAAGTATTGTATATATATATTCTAATTTCATACCTTTATAACTAAAATAGTAATTATAATATTCGTTGTTGAAAATTCATAACAAACCTTGGAATTGAATAAATTCATGTAAAACGAAAGAAATAATCATATTATAAAATAAAAATTATATTGCTTATTATTAAAGAAAGTAAAAATTATTGAATGAGACCATTGAAATATTCGATTATGTAGACTGAACATGAAGCAAATTATATCTACATACTTATTACAATCAATTTGTAATTGTTCAATTTGTAAGAATAAATGAGTGAATACAAAGTCAAAAAAAAAAAAAAAAAAAGAAAATAAAAATTTTAATAATTTTATAATTTATAATACATTTATAGCACTACACATTCAAGAGAATTCTAATTCTTTTCTGTAATATATAAAATATTTTATTTAATATTACGATTAGACTTAAATTATTTAAATAAAATATTCTAAATTTTTATAAAAA